GGGGGGGGGGGGGGGGGGGGGGGGGGGGGGGGGGGGGGGGGGGGGGGGGCGGGGAGGGGGGGGGCACTGGGAGGACCAGGGGCTTGCAGCCCCCCACTAGGGCAGGTTTGGGGGGGCTCATAGCAGCAGATTGGGGTGGGTGATGGAGCATCCCGAGCCATCCTGGGGTACCCCGGCTCCCCCTCTGCAGCCCCGGGATGTGGGTGTTGGGGTCCTGCAGAAGGCGGGGGCAGGAGGGTGGGGGGCATTTCGGGGGGGGGAGCAGGGGCCCCAGGCTGCCCACGCGGGGCCCCGTGCCACGGTTTGGGGTGGTACGAGGCTGTTAATGATTAACCAGCGGTGCCGGGCGGTGGTGGCGGTGACTGGTGGCACTGGTGGTGGCAGCACTGGTGGCACTGGTGGTGGCAGCGGTGCCGGTGGGCGGCGGCCAAGGGACATCGCGGTGGGTCCCGGGGCCGTGTCCCCCCCCATGAGACGGGCAGGTAACGTTGGGGGGGGGTCGGGGGCCGGACGCTGCCCTGCAGGGGCTGGCGCGGGGACAGGAGGGGACACGGAGCGTCTGGGAGTGACCCAGCGGCTGCTGGACTCGCGGGGTCGTGGGGGGGACCCTCCCCCTCTCCTGCCCTGAGGGGGTCCAGAGGGGTCCCTGCTCCTGGGTGCTGGGAGCACCAGTGGGTGCTTTCCATCCCAGTCCAGACTGGGGGGGACTGGGACGGCGGTTCATGCCCCAGAGGTGACACCCCCGGACACGGTTGTGTCCCCGTGGGAGCGACGGGGACCGCGGGGGAAGCTGAGACGCGGAGGAGGGACCGGGGACACCGGGACCGGGGGGCTCCCTCCCGTCCCCCTCATCCCGGGGCTTCTCCTCCAGCGGGACCCAGCCCGGAGCTGCGGGAGCGAAGCCGGATGCACCCGGGGCACCCCCGTCACCCCAAAACCGCCGGGAGCCGCTGGCCGAGCCCCCCCGCCCCGCCGGGACACCGGGACCGCCCAGTACGGAGCGGGGGCGGGGGGGCTGAGCCCCCGGGCTGGGCTGGGGGCGTTGGGCCCACTCTAAGTCCTGCCTGGCGGGGCCGGGGGCGGCTGGGGCTGACGACCACCCCTCGGTGACCGCAGCATCCTCCTGCCCTCCCATCCTGTCGGGTCTCATGTCCCTCGTGTCGCTGGCAGTGGGGGGGGGACTGCCAGTCTTGGGGGGCTGTGTCACGGCCCCCCCTCGCTGCTGTCTCTGCTCTCACCCTCCTCTTCCTCCCGGCGCTGCTCTGCCCGGCCCGCAGCCTCCCGTCCCTCCACGTGTGGCGGGGCGAGCTGACCTGGAAGCCCCGGGAGGTCCCCGGGGGTCCCGCGGTCACCGGGAGCGGGGGCAGCCCCGGGTGGTCCCCGCCCTGCCCCCCGGCTCGGCGGCGCGGCCACCTCACCCCTCACCCCTCACCCCCTGCCCTTGTGTCCCGAAGCCGCCGCCAGCCCGTGCCAGGTGTGTCACCTTCGAGGACGAGGTGGTGCCACCGCGGGGACCCCCGGGGAGGGCCCGTCCTGCCGGGGAGCAGGAGAAGCGGGGGGACAGGTCTGTCGCCCCCCGACTGTCACCCCGACCGCGCGCCGTCCCCGACTACGTGGTGTAAGTGGCCCTTTGGCGACGGGGATGGTCACGGGGGTGTCACTGACACCCCCCCCGGGCAGCACCTGAGCCCCGTGGTTTTGGGGGGCAGGAGGTACCCGGCGATCCTGAGCCCCCGGCAGCAGGAGGGCTACAAGGGCGTCTTCCAGGACCAGCTGGCGGAATACGTGGATCTGCACCGGGAGCTCCGTGCCACACGTCACCCCCCGGGCAGGACGGTGGGTCCCCGGGTGGGCGCGGGGCACCGTCCCGTGGTGGTGCTGAGGATGCGATGTGATGGGGATGAGCTGGGCGTTCTCTGCAGGGATTAGGGGTGAGCCGGGGGGGGGCTGCAGAGGGTGTTGGGGGGACAGGAGGAGACACGTGGACCCCCAGGCTCCGCTGGCACCAGCAGCGCCCGAAGGCAGCTCCTGGAAAATTAATGAGCGTTGGAATTTCTTGGCTGCGCCCTGGGGGAGGGTTTTGCCGCAGGTCTTGGAAGCGCTGGAGGTGCCGGAGGAATTCTGGGTGCCCCTGAGCCCTCCGGATTTGTCACCTCCAGCCACCTCATTAGGGCTGAACCCCCCGCGGGGCTCCGGGACGTGACCCACAACCGCTGTGAGTTTGTGAGGAAGAGGGGGGTGAGCAGCGGGAGGGCTCAGGATTTGTTCTGGGGAACGCGGGGGGGGTGTGCCCTGGGCATCACAAGACCCCGGTGCCTTGGCAGGGCTCTTCCCGGCAGGATTCAGCCTGGCTGGAGAAGCAGCGGCGCTGTGAGTACCTGAAGAAGAAGCTGACGCACCTCAAGGCGCGGATCCAGGAGTACAATCGTGTCACCCACCCCAGCGCCGGTGGCTCCTGAGCCTGCACCCGGGCCGGGGAACCCCCCCGAGGCACCCCAGGGGATGGGGAGGGGGTGGCGATGCCGCGGGGATCACTCGGTACCCACCAGGGATCACCCGGTACCCACCAGGGATCACCCGGTACCCACCGACCCATCACACCATGCGGGAAAGGGGAGGAAACCCACCGGCTCCTCATTCTGGAGGTCCTCGTGGAGCCTCGTGGCCCCGGGACCCCCGAGCGCTGGGTGGGTCCTGCCTGTCCCCAGGCCCCGGCTGTGCCCCCACCTCGTCCCTGGGAATCGGGGAGCTCCTCACCCCCCTCCCCGGGCAGGGGGTGCAGCTGCTGAAGTGGCTTTAATTCAGTAACAGGGTTTAAGAAACGTGGTGGTGTTTTGTTTGTTTTTGGGTTTTTTTAGGAGGGGGTGTGTGTCTCAACTTTTTTTTGCGGGCGTCTTAACGCGCATCCCGGGGCACCCACCGTGTCCGGGGGTGCCCCCGTCCCACCGCAGCGCCCTCGGGACCCTCAGCACGGGGCACAATTTCACCGCCCCCCGATTTCACCCCCAATTTCACCGCCCCCCCCGCCCCCCAAGGCGGATCCCGGTGCTCCCACCCCCCCATCCCACCCCTCCCGGGGGCGGGACCCGGGGCCGGTCCCGCAGCGCTGCCGCCGCCGCCTCCCGCCGCTCCCGGCTGCCATTTTAAGGTGAACAAAGCGGAGGAGGCGGCGGCAGGTGAGTGGCTCCGCGGCGACGGGACCCCCCTCTCGGTACCGGCCCCGGTACCGGCCGCGGCCCCGCGGGGCGAGCGGGCTCTCGGGGCGGGAGGGCGCCCGGGGGGTCCCCGCGCCCCGCCGCGCACGGGGGGGTTCGTCCTTCCCCGCCGCCCCACCTGCACCGGGGTCCCCGCCGGGCTTCCCTCCGGTACCGGCGTCCCCACCGGCACCGAAATCCCCTCCGGGGACACCGGGTTCCCCACCGGGGCTCACGCCGGTACCGGCCGCCGAACTCCACGCCGGTACCGGGGTCTCACGGGGACCCCAGCGGGACCGGCCGCCGGGGTCCGCACCGGTACCGGGCTCCCCACTGGGGTCCCCACCGGGGTCCACGCCGGTACTGGGACTCCCAAAGCCGAGAGGCCGCTGCTCCTCCCGGGGCGGCGGGGCCGGGGGTCGCGCTGCCCGCCGGTGCCCCCTCAGAGGGGAAGGGACCCCCGGACCCCCCTCCCGTGTCCTCCCCGCCGGCCCCGGGGGGCGTCGCGCTCTGATTCCCGCTCCGGGAGCCCGAGACCCCCCGGTCCAGCTCGGGGGGGGTCCCCGCAGCTGCCGGGTCCCGGTGGCCGCTCGGACCCCCAGGAGGGCGGGGGGATCAGCCCGCGGTCCGGGGGTGAATCCGACCGCGATCGAGGGGTTCGGGGGTTTGTGGAACAGGGGGTGTTGGGACACTCGAAGTGGAGAGGGGTTGGCTCGGGCAGCCCCAAAGCCCCGGGGGCACCACTGGGGCCCAGTGCCCACCCTTGCCGCTGGTCAGGGGGTCCTCCCAACCCCTCCACCCACCACGGGGGTCTGATCCTGCCGCTGAGCTCCGCCAGAACGGGTGCCCGGGTTGGATTTCCCACAGGGCTTCAGGTTTCCCCGGTGCTGCTCCCTGCTCCGGGCTGGGGTCTCTGCACCGCGTGGGGGGGTCCCCACATCGATTTCGAGAAACCCCCCCCCAAATTTTTACGCACCGATTCACCACTTTCCTGGGGGCTGTTGCTCACGTGCCCCGCGTTGTTGTTGTTATTATTATTATTATTATTATTATTATTATTTTCCTCTTTAATCCTTCAGATCTGCTTACGGCGGCACCCTCGGGGCGGGGGCGGGCCCCGGGTAAGCGCTTTGCTGCTTTCAGGAGAATTTAAACAATCCCCGGTTCCTCGGGCCGCGGTGGGGGGGGTCTGGGAGGCCGGGGGGGGGTGTTTCGGGGTTCCCGGTGTGGGGCAGGGCCGGGGCGTGACGGGCCGGGCGCCGCCGGTGACTCACCGTGCCCGTGCCTCAGTTTCCCCGTGCCGACTCCGGTGCCGCGGCGTTGGGCGGGTGTTGACGGTGCTGGTGACGGGAGTGGGGAGGGGGGGACGGACCAAAGTCCCCACGGGGCGGTGGAAACGCGGCGGTTCCGCCTGGCGCCGGTGCCGGCACCTCCTGGCACTCAACCGGCTCTGACTCTCCGTCCGTGTCCCCCCCAGGCTCCGCCACCATGTTCAGCAAGAAGCCCTACGACAGCCCCCCGATGGGTTACGGCCCCCCCACCAGCTACGGCCCCCCCACGGGCTACGGGGCCCCCACGGGCGATTACGGCTACGACTACGGGGCCCGCTCGCCGCCGCCGGGCTCCTACTACATCGAGGACGTGCCGCAGCACTTCTACAAGTGGTCGTCGCCGCCGGGCGTGGTGAGGATCCTGGAGGCCGCGGTCATCCTGCTCTGCATCGCCATCTTCGCCTGCGTGGCCTCCACCCTGGCCTGGGAGTACGGCTACGGCTTCGGGGGGCTCTACGGCAACGGCCTGGGGGGTTACTACGGCTCCGGCTACTACGGCAGCGGGCTGAGCTACGGGTACGGCTACGGGGGGTACTACGGCGGCGTCACCAACCCGCGGGCCGCCAACGGCTTCATGATCGCCATGGCCGTGCTCTGCTTCCTGGCCCAGCTGGGGCTCTTCGTGGCCGGCGTCAGCAAGTCCAGCAGCACCCGCTCGCGCCGCTTCTACCTGGTGGTGCTGGTGGTGAGCGCGGTGCTGGCCCTGGCCATGCTCATCGCCTCCATCGTCTACGTCGTGGGCGTCAACCCCCAGGCGCAGATGACGGGCAGCTACTACTACAACCCCCTGCTGACCATGTGCAGCCAGATCTACAGCGGCAGCACCTACCTCAACCAGTACCTGTACCACTACTGCACCGTGGACCCCCAGGAGGTGAGGGGAGGGACCCCTGTGGGCTGCGTCCCACGGGGTGTGGAGCTGGGGAGCGAGAGGGTGGGTGACCACGTGTCCTGCCCTCGATCCCCATCCTGCCCTCAATCCCCGTCCTGCCCTCGGTCCCCGTCCTGCCCTCGGCGTTTTCCCTCTGTCTTTAATGAGTTTGGGGTGATCCGGGGCTGCGGGACGAACTGGGATGATCTGGGGGTGTAGCGGCAACCGGGGCAAGTGATCCAGGGCTGCAGGAGGAGTTGGGGTGAGCCGAGGATGTGGGGGGGAACCAGGATGAGCTGGGACTCTGGGAGGAATTGGGGTGATCCAGGACTGTGGGAGAAATCAGGGTGATCCCGGGCTTTGGGAGGAATCGGGGTGTCCTGGGGTTGTGGGAGGAACCGGGGTGATCCAGGGCTGTGGAAAGAACCAGGATTATCTGGGACTGTGGGAGGAATGGGGTGATCCAGGGCTGTGGGAAGAAACAGGATGAGCTGGGACTGCAGGAGGAGTCGGGGTGATCCAGGGATGTGGGAGGAATTGGGCTGAACAGGGACTGTGGGAAGAACCAGGATTATCTGGGGCTGTGGGAGGAATTGGGATGATCCAGGGCTGTGAGAGGATCCAGGATGAGCTGGGACTGTAGGAGCAATCGGGGTGATCCAGGGCTGTGGGAAGGGCTGGGGCAACCCAGGGGTGCGGGAGGACCCGGGGTGATCCATCTGCCTGCGCCGGGAGTTTCGGGGAGGGGACGGGACGGGCTCTCAGCCCGACACAGACCCAGTTTCTGGACCTTTGTTCTCCCCGGCTGTAAAAGTGCTGGAGCAGGGCCGGGACTCTGCGGGGCTGGGAAGGGTCAGGGTGCCAGCTGGGCACTGCTGGTGCCACCAGCCCGGCTCGGGACCCCGAGGGGTCCGTGGGGCAGCCAGAGCCCTCAACCCCTGTCCCCAGCCCCGTCCCCAGCCCCGGGGCTCCAGCTGGTGGCACATGTGCTGGACCGGCGCTGCCGGTTCCCATCCGGCCGTGCCGGCCGTGCCGCATTCCTGAGCCCAGCCCCGGCTGCTCCTGCTCCCTGCCAAGGCCAAGCAGGGCCTGCTCCATCCCGGTTTCTGTGTGGCTGCAGGGATCTGGCTCATGGCAGCCGTTTGGGATGCCTGGTGTGGGAGCTGGCGCGTGGCTGAGCCGGCGCTGGGGTCAGGGGGCTGCAGGGAGGTGCTGGAGGGTGCCAGCTCCACGCTGCTTCCCAAATCCCACACTTGTCCTGTCCCCATGGGAAAATAAACCACCCTCCGTTGCTCTCCCTGGCCCCTAAATCTCTGGAACCCCTGATGGGCTCCATCCCGGGCTGGGGGGGCCCTGCCCCTCTCCCCCCGCCGTGGTGGGAGTCCAACATCGGGAGGATTTGGGGATGAAGGGAGCAATTCCCGCTCGTCCCAGGGAGATGCAGGGTACCCAGCCCCTGTGACCCCTGCCCTGAGAGCCCCCTCCCTCCTCCCCTCCAGGCTGTGGCCATCGTCTGCGGGTTCCTCATCGTCATCCTCCTCTGCCTCATCTGCTTCTTTGCTCACAAGACGAGGAGCAAGATCTGGAAGTACGGGAAACCAAACATCTACTGGGACAAGGTGCCGGTGGCCCAGGAGGGTCCCAACGTGGAGGAGTGGGTGAGTCTGAGGTGGGCTGGGGGTCCTGAGCGGGGGGACTCCCTGTGAGCTTCCTCCCTGCCTGCCCTGTGCCAGACATTCCCAAGGCAGGGGTGGGTCGGGATGTGCCGGGGTGAGCACAGGGAGGGTTTGGGGACCCCAGGGCTGTGTGGGGACCCCTCCCCTTGCCCAGCCTGGCACCCCAGAGCCCAGTCCCGGTGTATTTGCACACCCCGTTATCACACTCGCCGTGTCCCTCCCTGTCACCCCGTGTTTTCCCAGCCTTTGCCATTCCCCGGCACCACCGAGCTTTTCCCGGCGTGCAAAAACTGGGCGGGCTGGTCTCGAACCCGCTGAAAGGCAAACAGGGCGGGGCCTGACGGGCTGGGGGCCAGGGGCTCCCTGCTGGAGTGTTGGCCGGGTCCTGGCCCCTTCGCTGGCCATGGGACAGTGCCCAAAACAGCAGCCAGGGGACACTGCCCGGGGACACTGCCCGGCCACACCGCGGTTTCGGTCTGGGCAATGATTAACTCGGCTCTGCGGGGATGTGCCAGCAGGAAGCCGAGGGATTTACAGCTCCCCTGAGCCTCGTCCCCGCGAGGGGGATGGTGGGGACCCCCCCCCGGTGCTGGTCCCAGCCTGGCCCGGGGATGTGCCACGTCCTGCCCCGGCTCTGCAGCTCCCTGAGCCTGGGCAGGGTTCAGGAATGCCTGCAGCATCCCGCAGGGAAGCAGGATTGGGAATGTGCAGAGCGTGGCTTTGGGGGTGCTGCTGTGCTCTGG